CTACCAGTAAATCTGTGACATTTTCATATCTCTATGTCAGTTTGTTCCCTGGTTGGATTTTTTTCAAAGACATTTGATAGGAGAAATTGTTTAGAGTTAGTATTTGGGAACTGACTCATACCTGGGTCATAATTGGATTAAGTTTTGAACTTTGCAGGTTAAACTTAACATGGTGGTGCCATTTGAAACACAAATAATGACATTAGAGAGATATACTAATTTAGGTAATTTTAATCAAATTATGTTAAGGTTCTTAAAACTGATGGAATGACTACCTAAAAAGTAGGGGATTCTGTAATTACATATTTGTAATTACTGAATAACTTTCTTCACCATCTTTGAACACATAGAGTTCTCTCTCTTTTCTCTCCTCCCCTCTTTTCTCTCTCTTCTCCTCTCTCTCTGCCTTTCTGTTTCTCTCTCTCCCTCTCTTCTGTCCATTTCCCCATTCCTCTTCCTCCAATTTCTCCCTTCTTATTCTTCTCTCTCTCTCACTCTGATGATAGCTCAGTTTCACAAGACCAATTAACAAGGTGTTTTGTATTTTTTCTCTGAAATCTTCTCTATATGACCCCTTTCACAGCTTCTAAAAAGAGGATCACCTGTCTTCTTCCAAATTGCCAAAGGAGATAAAATTAGCTGTTGATCCATGAACTGAGCAATTGTCTCTGTGCCACATGAAGTCCACTGAACACTTAATCTGGACTGATTCATAGGGTATGACTTAGTTAATATTCCAGGAAGTACAAACACTAACTCAGCATGTCTAAATACTAAGACCTGAATATAAATTCTTCTGCATCAACTGAAGACCCTTTTCAAAGTAGCTTGCCCCAATTCTAAGGACTCTCATGTTGCACCTGGGTCACCAAACTAAGCCTATTTTCTTTCCATAAGGTTTTGTGTTTGGGCTGTGCTGTTCCCTTCCACTAAATGCAGGACTTGATTGAAAACAACATCCTTCAAGTGTTTTTCTCCTTGTTCTTCTAAAAGTACTTCGGCTTTCTTGCAAAGTTATTTCTTCCACACTATGGGCAACTCAGCTTAAGGCAACCTTAGCTGCATCATAAGAAGCACACTTATTCCCCTTTCTCTCTCTCCTAGGCAATTGACGTTCTTCCCGTTTACATTAATATAACTGAGTGGAGTCATTCAACTATAAATAAGGACAACTTTCCTTGTTAGATGATTTTGTCTTCTCTCCCGTAGACAGGTGAGCAGTTGATTTAAAAGTTTAACCTTTCCTCAACATGTACCTATTTCATATTTGCACCTGATTAAACATGTGTAATAGGGCAAACACAATAATGCTTTCCAGATCTCAATTCCGTTTATCAAGGTAAATATCAGAGGCATTTGTTCTACAGTGAGAAGAACTGAAACACAAGGATGGACAGTTGACTTTGTGGTTAGAGACAAGGTTATAGGCATTGCTTACAAAATCAGAGTACCATGAGCCATTCAGAAAATGGAGAATGATTCTCATAATGATAATGACCTTCAGTTTTATTATATCATACATCCAAAAGGATCATAAATTGCCTAACAACTCCATAACTACAAACGAATATGAGAATCATTTTGTATACAACTAAAATGTGTCAGCTGTCTCACAGAGCAGCAAAATTACTCAACAGTTTAGGGCCAGAACTGAACAAAAGCAGTTGAAAGCAAAGAGGACTGAGATAGGCATGAGGTAATTATACAATCTGGAAGTGGTCCATGCATCTAGGAGGGAGAGTGAAGTTTCCCTCAAGTGCTTAGGAAACTGAGAATTTAATATTACACACACACACAAACACACACACACACACACACACACACACACACTTCTTCCTTCAGAATTGAGACTCGAAAATAAACTGAGAACATGAAAAATAATGAAGTCATCTTAAATGTATTGGATGGTCCCATTTTAATCTGTAACTGTCTTTAATGTCTCAACTTACCTGAAGACATTCTGTGTCTATTAGAAGAAAAACCAGGCCAGGTGCGGTGGCTCACACCTGTAACCCAAGAACTTGGGGAGGCTGAGGCACGCAGATCACTTGAGGCAAGGAGTTCAAGACCAGATTGGCGAACATGGCAAAACTGCTTCTGTACTAAAAATATAAAAATTTTGGCTGGGTACGGTGGTGCATGCCTGTAATCCCAACTACTTGGGAGGCTGAGGCAGGAGAATCACTTGAACCTGGGAGGCAGAGGTTGCAGTGAGCTGAGATTGCACCACTGCACTCCAGCCTGGGTACAGAGAAAACTATGTCAAAAAAGGAAGGAAGGAAGGAAGGAAGGAAGGAAGGAAGGAAGGAAGGAAGGAAGGAAGGAAGGAAGGAAGGAAAGAAGGAAGGGAAGGAAGGAAACCTGTACTGATTGGTAAATAGAAAACAAAGAACCAGTAACCAGCCACCATTCCCGCAGCAATCTGGATATAGACAATGGATACCATTGTGATCTGCACCCCTCAGCCTGCCAAAGTGCTGGGGTTACAGGCATGAGCCACCGCACCTGGCCTGGTTTTCCTTCTAATAGACACAGATTGAGCCCATTGATGGGTACTGTGTCCAACAGCTGACGGAATTTGAGGGGAAGACTTTAGTGTCAGTCACCAAAGAGGGCTTGGAACTTCCAGAGGATGAAGAAGAAAAAAAGAAACAGGAAGAGAAAAAAACAAAGTTTGAGAACCTCTTCAAAATCATAAAAGACATATTGGAGAAAGAAGTTGAAAAGGTTGTGTCAAACCGATCAGTGACGTCTCCATGCTGTATTGTCACAAGCACATAGGGCTGGACAGCAAACATGGGAGAATCATGAAAGCTCAAGCCCTAAGACACAACTCAACCATGGGTTACATGGCAGCAAAGAAATACCTGGGGATAAACCCTGACCATTCCATTATCGAGACCTTAAGGCAAAAGGCAGAGGCTGATAAGAACGACAAGTCTGTGAAAAATCTGGTCATCTTGCTTTATGAAACTGCGCTCCTGTCTTCTGGCTTCAGTCTGAAAGATCCCCAGACACATACTAACAGGATCTACAGGATGATCAAACTTGGTCTAGGTATTGATGAAGATGACCTTACTGCTGATGACACCAGTGCAGCTGGAAGTGAAGAAATGCCACCCCTCGAAGGAGATGATGACACATCACGCATGGAAGAAATACACTAAGCTCCAGCTGAGGGATGACTTACCTGTTCAATACTCTACAGTTCCTCTAATAATGTATTTTCAAGGATGTTTTTCTTTATTTTTATTAACATTAAAAAGTCTGTATGGCATGACAACAACTACTTTAAGGGGAAGATAAAGATTTCGGTCGACTTCTAAGCGATGCTGTGATACTTTAGGCAGTAAAGCAGAGCTAGTAATGCTTTTTTAGTTTCACATTGGCTTACATGAACAGATCGAGGTAATGTGTGTTGTAAGATGTATGTAACATGTTACCTTTGTGGTCTAAAGTGTTTAGCTCTCAAGCCAGATTCCTTAGTAGACCAAATCTTGTTATCGAAGGCTTCCCAAGCTATACCTTGATGTTTAGAAGAAAAGTATTTGTTATATCTTGTAGGATCTACTTTCTGAACTTTTCATCCCCTGTAGTTGCCAACTCTGCATGGACTAGTCCTCTAGAAATAGGTTAAACTGAAGCAACTTGATGGAACTCTCCACAGGGCTTGTTTTCCAAAAAAACAAGGAGGAGCAGTTATTAGCCTACCTAAGCATATCACAAGCTGTTCAAAAATAACTCAGAGCCAGTCTGTGGTTGGAAATGTAGTGCTCGAGTCACATTCTGCTTAAAGTTGTAACAAATACAGATGAGTTAAAAGAAAAAAAAATAGACACAGAATGTCTTTAGATAAGTTGAGACATTAAAGACAGTTACAGTTTGAAATGGGACCATCCAATACATTTAAGATGACTTCATTTTTTTTCTTGTTCTCAGTTTATTTTCAAGTCTCAATTCTGAAGGAATAAATGTGTGTGTATGTGTGTGTGTAAAGCACTGCTCTTAGTAAAGCACTTAGTAAAGCACTGCTCTTCTGGAGGATGACAGAGTAAATTACCTTAGTCTGATCTACTAACATAATTTAGTTCATCCTTCCCACTATTTGCCCACAAAAAACAAACAAACAAAAAACCCCAGATTATCATTTTGCTTGCCATGCAGGTCTACACATGGATAGAGAATGCACTTGTTTTACGTTTCTCTTAAAATCCTAGCTTCAGTAAGACATGTACGTTGTAAATGAACAATTTGGCATGTTAGCATTGTCTTGGAATTTGGTTATTTTACATCTTCGGCCACTGAGCAACAGATCAACTTGCCATGCATTCATAAGCTCACAATTCTGAATCTCCATGGTTAAGATACAGCCCCTGAAAGATCACAAAATCACCTCTTAGGACATGTCTAATAAACAAGAAACATGCTGATGAAGCATGTATGTATTTATTTGTGCAGTCAAAACACCTTGCATGATACGCTTAATAAGTACTATTTTAGTGCTAGGCTCTACAAGACTGAAGTTCACCTGTGGAAAAAGAGATTGAAATTTGGGAAAGTGTATAAATTGTGTTTAGGCTGGAAAATTCCCTACGCTTTCTGATACAAACATTACATTCCATATTTTATGCACACATATAAACTCAGAGAAAAAATGCATAAATTTCAAGTGCACGCAAGTAATTCAATGGGAAAAAATAAAATGCATTGATTCATGTTGATGAGGATTTCTTAAGTAACATTTTGCTCTGTAGATATATACTCAACACTGTCAATTGTGTATCAAGGACAATTGCTTCACATATCATGAGGTACTGGTATGTAATTCCTTGCCTTTATCATTGCAACCTTTTGTACTAGCAGTCAAATTCTCTAATTTTCCCATACCAAACAGCAATCCTTAGACGTTAGTATCTCTCAGATACCTTTAAGTACTGTCTTTCTCTATTTTCTATCCACAAACCATTGATATTTTCTCATAAGTATAGCATTTTTTATCATTATTGGTTTAAAATAATTTGTTTTTCCACAGTCATGGTTTGGTGCCTTTGTGGAAATAAATAGACCATACTTAGGTAGGTGGGTCAATATCTAAACTTTCTATGAAAATGCCATGCTTTTATTGCTTACGCTAATTCATTATTGTTATTTTAGAGATGAGGTCTTGCTATGTTGCCCAGGTTGCACTCCAATCAAGTGATCCTCCCACCTCAGTCTCCTAAGAAGCTGGGACTACAGGCACATGCCACCACACCCAGCTTATTTACTCTAATATTAAAGTAAGTTATAAAATTAGGTAAAATCTTCTAACTTTGCTCTTTTAAAACTTGTCTCAGCTGTTCTAGATCCTCCCTCCCCTAAAAATGGCCTGCTTTTAAAAAATAACCTGACTTTCATTTGGATTAAGCTGAAAGTACAGATCAATTTTAAGAAATTGGAAATTATTACACTACTGTGTCTTTGAGTTTATAAACATGTGACTTATCTGTGTTTATTCAGGTTTTTTTGACATCCTTCCATTAAGGTTATATAGTTTTTTTTTTTAATATAGAGATTTGCACATTTGTATTAGATTTGTTCCCAGGAATTTTGTGGATTTTATAGTCTTGTAATCAATTCTGGTTTTCATTCTGATTTTCTACTTGTGTATATGCATAATGGTAATCTACCAGGAGGTATAGTTTTAAGGTTTTTTTTAATTATTATACAGTCCCTTTATCGCATATAGGAGAGTTACTTATTGTGCTAATTTGCAGAGAGCTTTTACTATGAACATAGGTAGACGTCTGTTAAACACTTTCTCTTTTACATCTGACATGAGTGTACATTTTCTCTTAAATTATTAAAGTATATGAGATGTAAATTCCTAGTGAGCTCCAAGATCTTTACCCTACGGTGTTTCTGTTAAAATTTCACCATGGCCATGTAAGTTGATAGCTTATCTTTAAGGTGCAGTGATCCCTGGCCCACCAGACACAAATGCATATCTGATTGTTCCCCTGCCTCATTTTGTCTATGTTACCTTAGGGGAAAGGCAGATTCCCTGCATTTTTTGCTCTGTCTCATTTGTCTATGTCATCTTATGTAAAAAACAGAAACAAAAAAATGCAGATTCACTGAGCCAGAAAAAAGCATGAACAACTATTTTTCCCTACCCACCTCTTACATGAAAATTGTGTACTTCTTAATAACCTATCCTTTGCCCTTTAACTTTGGAGCCCTCAAAGTCATCTTCAGAGAAAGGCATACACTTGTCTCCTGGGCATGTATCCTTAACTTTGGCAAATAAACGTCCTAAAATGATTGAGACTTGTCTTGCCATTTTTCTTGATTGACAATAGTAATGGACATAGGAAATGTTTGTTAGAACCTCCAGTTAAAAAGACGGAAGTGGTTCTCATGACTATACCCCTGAAAATGCCAAATCCATCCTTTATTGATGTGAAGAAATTAAATTTAGTTTATGCACAATGATTTTTTAAAACTGTGAAGGTTTTGAGTCACCCACAAATTGTTTTTTCACATTTTCCAGTTCAGCCTCTCATCAGCCCTGGCATCACTCTTTACTGTCAAAATGGAATGCTTCTGTTTATACATAAACTACTTATCCATTAGAAGAAGGAGAAATAAAATGAGTATGATTGTTTCTTCTAGTTTCAGAAATCTATGATTGCTATCACTGCATCTTATTCATCGTGTCTCTTTGAATCATCCTCTTTGCATCTGATTCTCCTTGAATTCCTGCATCTCACTCCAGTAAAAAAAGTGATAGAATATTCAGAATGTAAGAATTGCTTTTTGGAATTTAAGGAGGAATCTGATTTAATGTGTTAATGTGTTTTGTCTTAGTCTTACGTCCCAAGATTAAACAACAACAAAAAAAAAACTTTAATATATCTGTTCAAATTTTAGCTTTTGTATAGGTTGAGATTTTTCACAACTGCAGGTCATTTTTTTCCCTTAAAAGTACAGGACTATATTTGACGCAACCTTGCTATAAAGAAAGTAAAAATGTGTTAAAAAAAAAAATAAAAGAATTAAAGAAGACATGTAAATATATGCCCTGCATGAAGAAGAGAGAACTTGCAACATCACTAATGATCAGGGAAATGCAAATCAAAACTGACACGAGCAGAAACTCAAACACCGCATCTTCTCACTCATAGGCGGGTGTTGAACAATGAGAACGCATGGACACAGGGAGGGGAGCATCACACACTGGGGTCTGTTGGGGGGAAATGGGGGA